TAGACAATGGCATTGGATGTGGCGTCAATCGTAAAGTAGCGCCGCAACCACTGCCGTCCCAACAGCCACGCCAAGGCTGGCCCTTCCTTCAGCAGCCACCCCTTTGGCTCCCCCATCTCGCCCTGTGCGGTATCCGTGCTACCAGTGATGCGATGATGCGCTGATGCGATGATGCGATGGTGTGATGGTGGTGTGACAGCTGCGATGGTGGTGTGATGCTGTGTCACACAACCTCACGTGTTGTCCAGCCTGGAACACACACACGCAGCACACTCCTTCTCCACACAATGCGCGCTGTGTTTGTTTTGGTTGTTCTGTTTTCCCAGAGTGCACCCCCAATACACACAGCTCCAAGCACACCGCTTCGCTTCACCGCCCCCCCCCTCCCCAACGCACACGCTTTCACCCAGCAGCCGCGTACCGCGCATTGCGTACCACACTCGGCATGGCGCTGTCTCCTGAGCACCTTCCTGCATGGTATCACGGCGTGCTTTCGCGCACGGACGCAGCAAAGCTGCTGCTTGAGAATGGAGGAGAAGCAGGCCTGTTCCTGGTGCGCGCAGCATCCTCTGGCAACGGCTTTGTGCTCTCCATGTGCCACGCGCCACAGGCCGTGTCGCACTACCAGATCCGCAGTCAGCGGCTGCAGGGCGTGGACTACCTCACATTCGACACAGACACGGGCGTCGCGCCGCAGTTCAGGTCCCTCTCCTCCGTCATCCAGCACCTGTACTCCAACCCGGCCCACTTGCCTGTGGAGCTGAGCGGGTGGGTGGCGCGCGAGGAAGCGCCTCCGCCTCCCATCCCACCATCGCATGCCACCGCCGCCACCAGCACGGCAACCACAGCAGCCATAACCACCACCTCCAGTGGGCCTGCCAGCACTGCCACCTTCTTCAGCAACAGCACGGATACTGTTCGTGGCGACGGCAGCGGGGATGGCGACACGAAGAACACGGAGGAGATCAAGAAGAGCGTGAGGGAGATTGAAACCCCAGATGGCTTCGACATGTACAGCAGCACCGATGCCTCGTCCCGCACAGGCACACTGTCAAAGGTGCTTGGGCTGCATGCTCCGTTGATAAACACGCGTGTCTTGTTGATATCTTGTGACTCGTGGATAGCATGCACATCGCGGTGTACGCGCATGCTTGTTAGCCTGCTTGATCTCACGACTTGCTTGCTTTGTGCCGCACTGTGTAGATTGAGCAGGAGCACGCGATGCAAGTTGGCGGATCCTTGCTGGTCAGTCAGCTCACGCTTCACTTGATTCCTTGTGCACACGTGTGTGTTGTGTGCGTGTGTGGGCATGTGTGCGTGTGTGCGTGTGTGGGCATGTGTGCGTGTGTGGGCATGTGTGCGTGTGTGCGTGTGTGCGTGTGTGCGTGTGCGTGCGTGCGTGTGTGTGCATGTGTGTGCATGTGTTGCGGACGTACGTGTGAATGCCAGCGTATCACTCTCCAGCGTATCACCCTCCAGCGTATCGTCTCATCGGCAGCGTCTCATCCCCACCACTGTCCCTGCCCCTTTGATTTCAACAGTCGATGGTGAAGGACACCATTACGTCGTCTGCGCAGGTGAAGGAAGAGGACCTGAACAATGAGAAGCTGTACGAGACCGCCCAGCGCTTCTCCTCCCACTTTGAATCCGCGCCAGACCTCAAGGTGCGCGCGCTCTCGTGCCTCGACACTCGATGTTTCGATGTGTATCTGTGCAGGTGGAAACGCAAGCGTGTGTGTACTTGGGTAGCGTGTGCACATGGAGTGACAGGACCGTCAATCTCACGCGCTGGCTTTGTAGCGTTCAACCAGTCTCATTGCACCATCATATCATGCTGCTGCGACACCAACTATTGTCAGGTGTACTCCGTTCCCGGCGCCGATGCTGGTGTCCAGGCACTGGATGCAACGTCAAACAAGGCCACAAACCTCAAGGGTGAGGCATGTGCATGTGTGAACAAATGTGTCCGTGTGTGCATGTGTGTGCATGTGTGTGCATGTGTGTGCCCGTGTGAACAAGTGTGTCCGTGTGTGCATGTATGCATGTGTGTGCATGTGTGTGCATGTGAGCTTTCCATTCAACTCTTCAACCCCCTTACGCACGCAACACGCGTGCACCACGGCGTGCAGTTGGGGACCAGCTGCGCCTCATTGGCGTGGAGGAGGAGGGCGATGGCGTGGTGATCATGTGTCAGGATGCATCCGGCAGGAAGATCAAGTTCCCGTCCACCAGCCAGATCAGAGTGTTGCCGTCTGCATTTGCGAGCGCAAAGAACAGCCCGTCCAGCTCTGGCATGAACTCCTTGGCCGGTCTTCAGCGGTGAGGCAGTGGTGGCGCGGGAAGATGGAAGCTGATGTACAGACACACAGACACAACACACAGACACACAGACACAACACACAGACACACACACACACACACACACACACGACACACACACACACACACACACACACACACACACACACACACACACACACACACACACACACACACACAC